GATTTAAAATCTTTAACCAGTACCCAAAATGCAGCAACTGATGGTTGAATAGATCTGCAGAGCTATATTGTCAGATAAATAGTTTTTCAGAGTAAGTCTAAAATTGTAGTGAACTAATCTTTGTTTTTCCTTTAGGTTGTAGTAGAATTAGAAAATGTAAAATCAGAATCAGAGCTGTTAAAAAAACAACTGTCAAGTGAGAGACATACAATTAAAAACCTTGAATCATTGTTGGCTACAAATAGAGATAAAGAATTTCATTCTCATTTAACCTCCCATGAGAAGGATACTGAAATTCAGCTACTTAAGGAGAAGTTAACCCTTTCAGAAAGCAAATTGTAAGTATTATAAATCAGCCTATGCAAGGAAAATAGCTTGTCAAAAATGCTTTAGTTTTTTTTTTTGAGGGTGAGGAGAGGTGTGAGAGTGTGAAGCGTGGTCCAAAACTAACATATTTGATTACATGTCTGCTGCTTTTGGAACTTCAGAGGAATAGCTCAGCAGAGACATCATGTTTGGAGATGTAGACTCATAGATCTTCACAACAAAGGTGGTACTGTGGGAGTGACTGAGAAGAGTGAACTTTAGGAAAATGCCTAAAGTTGAGGAATGAACGGAGGAGTCAGTGAAGGAGAGAGCATTTCAGGATGGGAGGAATCAGCTGTGTCTCATGCTGTAGATTAGAAAAAAAAGACGTGGAAAAGGCTATGAGGTTTGACTGTCATAAGTGTATTGATTACCTTTGGAGAGATGGGTGTTATCTTTTTTAGATGGGGAGATTTAGGCATATCTCTTGGAAGAGGGAAAAAAACCAGAGTGGATGTCACGGTGAAGAACAAGCTTTTAAAAATAGTTAAAAATATTTCTCTTTCTGAGGCAAAAGTCAAGAAAAAGCCAATGAAAGTACCTCACATCTGATGTTACCATTCATGTCTTGTTCAAATTTGTATTATCTTCAGCACTGCTGCAGTGCCTAGCACATATTAGAAGCTCAGTAAATGTTAAATAAGCCAGGTGGATTAAAAAGAAAACTTTGTGATAAAGCTCCAGAAGTTTGGAGAATGATTGTTGAAAGGTCTTGATCTTCTCTTTTTCTGTCCTTAAGTATCATCTCTATTTGTATTTACTAATAAAAAAAAAATCCATAGCACTCAACTGTACAAAACAGAATGTTATTTATTTTTCTGATTTTTAAATTTGTTTTTAAGAACTAGTCAAAGCCGGGAAAATACCATGCTTCGAGCTAAAGTGACGCAATTACAAACAGAGTATGATGCTCTGAAAAGGCAGATTTCAACAGAAAGATATGAACGGTAAGAATAACTTGTTTAGCATCACAGTGTTTTTATGTATTCCTTGTACTATTCCAAAAAGGATTTAATATGGCTTACAAATAGCAAACTCTTTTTAAGCATTAATATATAAAATAAATTTCTTTGGTAATTCTTCCTAAAAAGGCAA